GGGGGCACGCATCATGAGCGAGCAGCTAAAACTTTGTTTAATAGGCGACCTGCATCGGTTAGGAATATTATTGAGCGCACATTTGGAGTTCTTAAGAAGCATTTTCAAATACTTAAAGGTCCAATGCAGAACTATCTGATAGCAACGCAAAATAATATTGTGCTTGCATTGTGCTTGCATGTTGTGCTTTGCACAATTTTATGCGCGATTATGTGCCAAAATGACGAGTACTTCAACGAAGAAGCGGCAAATGGAGCCTTTGCAGATGCACACATAGCAGGGGAACAAGTGCAGATGGGTCAACCAATCGATATGTCGCAGTAGGGCATAGATAACTGGAACGAAGATCGGCGGGCAATAGCGGCGCACATGTATTGGAATACTAATAACTAGACTCCAGTGCATGGCCTAGGACCGATAGGTCCAAATTGGAAGCAGTTTCTTACTTTTTATTTGGTTCACCTCTTGTGATTGAACAAATAATTTTAATTTGGCTACATTTAATGTATTATGCCTTGAACAGGATTTGCACCTTTGTATTATATTTGCTGACTAGTACTTTGCTCTGGAACCCCAGTAATTATTCAGTTGACCGGTTTAGTTCATGTGTTTGTGAATGATAGCGTACAAATAAGTCATGAACCAGTTAAGTTCTCGGCACATTGTTGACAGGGGTTACGGTCAACCTTTGGCGACTAATTTTTTCCAATTGCGGGAGGGGACATTTTTGAGCTGTCCAACATTTGCCATGATCTAAAGGTATTGGCCAATTGCACATTTAGACCCTTCAAATAATTTATTTGTGTGTAGGTGTTTTTCAAAAGTAGTTCAATCCAAACGCATGTGTTTTTTAAAAAATAGGAGTTTTTCAAAAACAACAATCCAAATGACAATAGCAGTTTTTCAAAAACTGCTACAGTAAAGTTTTTCAAAAACACTTCAAAAAACAGGGAATCCAAACGCAGCCTAAATTTTATATACACTAATAGTGTATACATTATCACAGTTGGATGCATGATACATGAATAAAATTTGGATTTTAAATTTAAATTCAGATGAGTTATTATGCATCTAATGGTGATAGTATATACATTATCAGTGTATAAAAATTAATTCTATAATAAATCATCGGTTTGTCTAATGGGTGTCCTATATGCATTCGTTAAGATATATTTCAAGTGTTATATTTTGAAAATATAAAATTAATTAGGAAAAGTAAATAAATACAAGGAAAGGTAGGTAAGATTAAATAAGAAAATATATAAATACAAGAGAGGATAATAATTATTAGTATATCTATTTATATGATAGGTTAGGTGAATACTATGAATGTTAATGAATGTCTTAAGGGCACTCATTAGAAAAACCCATAAATTATTAACAAAATGTTAACATTAAAATATGGTCCAAACCAAGTCAAAATATATAAATTCACATCCAACTAATTTAAAATTTGTAGATAAATCGCATTCTGGCCAAATCTAGATAAATAGGCAAAGCATATAGTATAAAAAAAATTGGACCGAATACAGGTTGGACCAGATCCATTGACAGCTTCGACGGGGATAATCGATAACATTATGATAGTAATATCATATCACATCAACAAAATTCTGTAAAGTTTAATTGTTAAAGAGGAAATTGTTTAGTGTTTTTAAGCTTATGTAATGTGGTAGACATATAGATTTATCGGTCATTGTCAAATTTGTCAATATGAAACTGAACTGCAACTAATACCAAGGGCCAATGGCCTTCTTTTTGGACTTGGATTTGGCCTTGGGTTTAGAAATAATTTATAAGTTAGGGTTCTAAAGGTATTCCAAAATGCTAAGGGTGTAAACAGGAAGATGGACCAAAGTTGCAGGACTATTGCTGTCATTTATTCAGAAAAATATATTTGGCACAAAATTGCTCAAGTCAAGCTATGAAACTGAAGATTTGAGCTGGCATATTTCTACAAGTAGTTTACCTTATTAAAACCCCCTAACATGTATATCACGTAAGTTTTTTTTTCTGTTTTCCCACAATAAAAATCACAATCTTTTGGCCTTCCTATCTTAGATAATCACGTCATATTGACAAAGAACTATGTGCATTTTCTTTTTGGCATATTTCATGCCTAGTTTTAAGCATTTATTCCGTAGCAACATATTCAAAGCTTGTCTCAAAAAACATATGTATATATAGATAGATTTTATAACGTAAATCTTTTTGTTTGTCGTCCCAAGATACACGACAATCTCAACCGCCATGACAAAAAAAAAAAAATAGGCAAGTTTCCTATATCTTTGCTTCCTATAAGATTTTTCCGTGTTAAATAAAACGTCATATGGACAAAGAAAAAAAAATTCTTGTGCTTTTAAGGGGTAGACAAAGAAATAATTCTGGAACTTTTATGGCATATTTCAAGCTATTTAATCCGTAGCAACAACATATATCCAAAGCTTACCTTTTTAAGTTTGGCAAATTGTTCTCTACTTGGTTTGAACTTCCTATAGTATTGGAAAAGTGAAAACGAAAGAAGTTTTGTCACTACCAAAACAAGAAGTCTTATTCTTTCCAAACTTCTACAACATGATAGATACTTGGTAACAAACATGAAAGCAAAGATCAAGTCTACTTGCCCGACAAGCCTTTTCAACTTCAACATATATATTGGCGCCCTCATCAGTCAAAGGTGGCCAAAAAACCCATCTATATATGTTGATGTCACATGCAAATTAAGAGTTTGAAGAACATATTTGGCTGTGATTTTCTAGTGTTTTTGGGGCTTTAAGGAGAGATGGGTGCTTTTTGGTTGAGCTGTTTTGGCTTGTTAATGGTTATGTGGACAACTACAAGGGGTGGTGTTGAGGGAGGACAAGTTTCTTACGATGGAAGATCACTGATAATTGAAGGGCAAAGAAAGCTCCTGTTTTCTGGTTCAATTCATTATCCTCGAAGCACACCTGATGTATGTTTTCTCAGTCTCTTGCTTATTTACTCTTTTTTTTTTTTTTTGGTCTTGGCTTGTGTTTTTCTTGTGGAATGTTAAAAGAAATTTAGAGTTGTACAAAGTTATATGTTTTTAAGAAACACTCCATCCAGCATTAATTTTTGAATCAATATTTAACAATAAAAAGGTGATTGTGAAAAGAAGCAATTCTCCAAAGATAAGTGCTTTTCAAAATATACCATTCAATGCCATCCATTCATGGTTATGAATTAAGATGAATTCATTTTATTCGTCAGCAAACTCTTGTACATACTTAGGAAAACACTAACATGATGCCCCCTTCATTTGCTGGTACCTTTTCTTAAATGTCATGATTCAGTCATGATTCAGGTTGGTAGGTGAGTGTGTTTGGGTATGTGATTATTTGGAATAATACTATAGCATTTTTTGTAATATGATGTATTTAAAATAAAAAAAAATAGAAAATTTTTTATTTATGATGCAAGAAAGATAATATTTATAATTTTGTTTTTAAAATTATACTATTCGAACAGACCATGGTGTGTTTGTTAATCACATGAATTGTAAACGTAAGATTGGTTAGAGATGCTGCTAGGCTTTGGCCCATGATTTTTGTAAGAGAGATTTATCCATTTTTGCCTCCGAATATTTTTGATGGATTCTTCAATCACTCTTTTATTGATAATAATTGTTTGAAAACTTTGGTTAAAATTGATAGTTATATGGGTTGTATGTTTCACTTTACTACTTTGTCTCATCTTACGATTGATAAAGGTGAAGCACTCCTTTGTAGTATAGTCCCCCAGTCTTCTATCTTAAGATCCGCAAATTTCAAGAATTACACAGCTAATTAGTGGTTAGAGGAGGGTTCTTAGAGTTTTCTTCATTGTCAGTTTCAGGATTTGAATCTTGTACCTGACAGTTGGGTGTAGAAGGGTGTGAAGAGGGGTGAGAGAATAAAAAACCTAAAACCTACAAATCTAATTAAGAAAAATTCCTCTTAAACACTCATTCTTGTTAAAAAAAATGCATACAATTAATTTTTGTAAAATATTTTAAGCATATAAAATTTCCAAGGGATGGATTATTAGCAAGATTATCTTGTTACGAAAATTATTTTTCATGGCAGATGTGGCCATCTTTGATATCAAAGGCCAAACATGGTGGACTAGATGTGATTGAAACCTATGTCTTTTGGAATCTTCATGAACCTCGACATGGGCAGGTACCTTCTCCAGCTCTATGTAAATTTTCACGCATATTTTGTACATCAATTCAACTGAAATGACTTTTTTGCTTTTCACTTTTCAGTATGATTTTAAGGGAAGACATAATATAGTGAGATTCATTAGAGAAATTCAAGCTCATGGCCTCTATGCATTCATCCGGATTGGACCCTTCATTGAGGCTGAATGGACTTACGGGTAAGAAAGTTTTGCTAAAACTCTAGTTGCCTAATTTTTATGCAAGGTGAAAGTAAATATGCTGCTTCAAGATTTTACATTCTAAAAAAGGTTAACTAGAAACACCCCTTTATCAGTTCATTTTCATATCTATCCTGTTTTAGTCACATATGGTACTGTGTATAAAACAAGCAACTTTTGCCAACAACTTGGGGAAATTTGTCAGGAATTTGTGCAAGTTAAAAAGTATCGGACTGGAACTGCCATATGTACCAAATAATGCACTTAGGATTTCTAGGATAGGGAGTAGCATCTCGTTATACTTTGAATACTTACAGAGTTGATTTGCTGCTGCAGAGGTCTACCATTTTGGCTGCATGATGTACCAGGAATTGTTTATCGATCTGATAATGAACCCTTTAAGGTGATGCATATTTTACTCTCTTTTTTTTTCCTTTTTCAATAGGCGAACAGGTGGGAAGAATCCGTTTGGAAGTGTGGAAATGTTTCTCGAACGTAGAACTCACAATTTCAGATTTATTGGAGAGTGAATCTTGAACCAAAATAACTGCCAGAAACACTTGTATATCATTTGACAATACAAAATGAAAACATTCTTGATCAAGAGCAACTCCCAAACAGATGAAAAAATGAGAATGGTTGGTAATCTGACATTCCTTCTTTGGTTTGTGACAGTATCATATGCAAAACTTCACAACAAAAATTGTCAACTTGTTCAAATCAGAAGGATTATATGCTCCACAAGGAGGGCCTATCATTCTTCAACAGGTTAAATATTTATCACATCATGTGCAGTGCTGTTATATGCTTCAGCAATAACATGTTCAATAGTGAAGTTAAAGATTGTGCTATGCAGATCGAGAATGAGTACAAAAATGCGGAGAGAGCTTTTCACGAGAAAGGACCGCCTTATGTTCAGTGGGCAGCTGCCATGGCTGTCGGACTCCAAACGGGTGTGCCATGGGTGATGTGCAAGCAAGATGATGCTCCTGATCCTGTGGTAACCATTTCTACCTCTCTTTTTGGACAATGAAACATGAACTCAAGTTCGTTAAATAAACATCAAAGGAAAAGTTGCCTGATACCCTCACAAAATTCTCAAGCAAATCAAATGTAGCACAAATATATATGCATCAGAACTCCTACCTTTTATTTTCTACAATTATTGCTATTTTTTGGTCTTTTGAGTGGAATAATATGAGGCAATAGGGCTGCTGTTGCAGTAATGTCTCTAACGCAGATGAGACAATGGAAAATTGAAACTTGAGCAATGTGCAGATAAACACATGTAATGGGAGGACGTGTGGAGAAACATTTGTAGGGCCTAATTCACCAAACAAGCCAGCAATCTGGACAGAGAATTGGACAAGTTTGTAAGTTTTCGCTAACATTGTTCCTTGTACAGATTCATATAGGTATGATCTCTGAGAATTTCCTCCATTGTTGCTTGAAGCTATCAAGTCTATGGTGACAAGACCCCATTAAGATCAGCAGAGGACCTTGCATATAACGTTGCTTTATTCATAGCAAGGAAGAACGGAAGCTTTGTAAACTACTACATGGTAAGTAACAGAAACAACCACAAAGAAAGAGTTAGATGAAGAGGAAAAGAGTCTTCCCCCATTTGTGATGAAAATACATTCATTTTATCTATGAGGGATACTTTACGTGCCTTTACTGAGCCAGTTTTTCCTACATATATTGCTAATATATAGTAAGATTTGACTCCATGTCTGGATGCCATCTTCCAAACTGTCTCCATTATGGATCATAGAATACAAGGTCCTTAAGCTAATGTTGATTGTGTTTCAGTATCATGGCGGTACAAATTTTGGCAGGACAGGTTCAGCATTTGTACTCACAAGCTATTATGATGAAGCTCCTATTGATGAATACGGTAAGTGAGGCTGTATAATATCACATATAGTATACTATCATATATAGTTCATTATTAAGTTTTAATCAATGAAGAAGTTCATGGATATTAACAGGTTTGATTAGGCAACCAAAATGGGGTCATCTGAAGCAGTTACATTCAGTAATAAAGTCATGCTCACAGACTCTACTTCATGGAGTCATATCTGTTTCTCCACTTGGTCAGCAGCAAGAAGTAAGATTAGCATCTTCATTCTTTCGGATAGATTTCGTTTTTTCATTTTTTATATTAAGTTTCTTCTGAATCATATACTCTTTAACTCTACCAGTAATTGCTTGACCCTCTTGTGAGGGGAAGAAAAGCTACAAAACAAATTATGAGACATTTATCACATGTACAACGTATCTCAATACTCACCAGCTTATCTCGAGATAGGCCTATGTATTCCGCAGGGATTCAGGAGAATGTGCAGCTTTCCTTGTAAACTATGATAGAAGAACTGAAGTTGTGGTGCTGTTCCAGAACATACACTATAAATTACCTGCAACATCAATAAGCATTCTACCTGACTGCGCAACTGAAGCATTCAATACAGCTAAGGCAAGAGTTGAAGCTTTGTTGTCTTTATTCTGGAATATCAAAAATCATCTTTAGCAAGAATAATATATGCCTTTACTCAATGACTATATCTTTGATATAAAGAACACATGCAACATATTTCTGCATGTCCCTTAACTTTGTTAAAAAGCACAACTAAGAATCTTTTTCCAAATCAGAAGGCTAGTCATTTTGGTTGTATTGATTTTATACAAGCAACATTTTTCTATTGTATGCCATAGAATATCTTATCGCAAATGCACCCGCAGAAAGAAAAGCTGATGTATGTTAATGTGAAAATTTGGGAGCAGGTAACCACTCAATCTTACAAGAGATCAACTCTACCAACCGTGAAGTTCAACTCAGTTGACAGATGGAGTGAATTTCGAGAAGCTATTCCTGTATTTGGAGAAACTTCAATAAGTTCCAATTCATTGTTGGAGCACATGAAAACTACGAAAGATAAATCTGATTATCTCTGGTACATTACCAGGTAAATAAAAAGCATATCAGTTTATAGAAAACCAAATCTCCTGTGCAGTATTACTGATTAATATGGATATTTATTTCAATTTTGTTTTCTTTTAGTTACTTTCTGGGTGGTTATAATGTCCTTATAGAGGTTGCTGCATGCTAGATGCTGTAAATTTAGTTCTTGGCTCCATTTTCCAACCTTGTCATATGGTCTCCTGAATCACAGTCCTGATCTGCACATGGTTCTGAAATATATGTCTGATCATACTCTATAGATGCAGAGCCATATCAGCTGTTTAATAGGTATTAGGCACTCAGAAAACTTTCACTAACATGGAATGAAAACCTATGATTTCATCACTCCTATTGGATCGTTTAAAGTAGTTTTAGGAATTCTTGATTCAGTAATTTCACTTAGATGAGGACGATTCATTTGAAGTTTTGGACAACTCGAAGTTAATAAACACAAGAAGAAAAATAGATGAGGACGAAAACGGTAAAAGCTTATATCTTGGTGGAGTTCACTATGAGTGCACCTGCTAGATATCCTGGTGGAGTTCACATTAACACACACATACATGCATATATAATTATGTATTTTCCTCTTAGACAAGGGACACAAATGATTTAATTTGGTTTATACTGTGTAAATATGTTAATCACAAATGAGGATACTGGAGGTACCTTGAACGCTTGTCCAAGTCTTCAGAGGTTTTAGAAAGTTTACGAATCTGACACATAGAAAGATACCAGTATCTGACACCCATACCTGAGTCCAAGTGACATTGGAGATGATAACTAGGGGTTCTAGATTAAATCATTCAAAATGAAATCCACCTCTCACGCAGCTTCAATATCTAACCAGGAACCTATCATGAGAGTAAGTTGCCAACATCTATTGTGCTAAATTCATTCTTATCGTGTACTAACAGCTTTAACATTTGCAATGACAGTGTTAATTCATCAAAAGCTCAGTCGCTTCTCACTGTCGACTCCCGGGGACATGCTTTACATGCATTTGTTAATGGAGAACATGCAGGTAAGACTCATCATATATATGCATCATGAATAGCAGGTTTTCACTCAGAACTGGGAATCAGTCTGCAACAAGAAAATCATGTAGCTGGCAGATCAATTCTTGGTGCAATAACACATAACTGTAAAGCTTAAAAGAGTCAGAATTAGGCAAGGATGTGGGCTAAAATCACTATCTTACTGCTTTTAAACCGTCTTTCAAAGTTGAATACCACATGCACTCTGGACAATGAATCACAACTTAGCTCCAAGGAAAATTGAAACTTGCAAAAATGACACTGTTCCCATTCGACTGCTCACCTTTTACTTTTCTTCAGGTTCTGCACATGGAGATCATAAAAATCCAGCTTTTACGTTGGAAAGAACTATAAATCTACATCACGGGAGGAATAATATCTCCTTGCTCAGTTTGACCGTTGGATTACCGGTAAAATTTTGCATATGTATCTTATTTCCTGTTAGCTTTTTCTTGACTTCAACAATAACCAGCATCTTGATGTCACATACTCCACAAAATCTACCGAACCCTTTGACATTATCATCTGAAATGAATGCATAGGCCACATACAAAATGGTCCAGAATCTTTCCATAGTAGCATCTCATTTCTTTCCCTCTAATCGTTTCCTATGTAGTATCTTTGAGAGATGAATCTCCCCAAGTTTGAATCTCCGCAAGTTCTTCATTGAAACCTTCTCCAGTAGTGAAACCTGTCTTTAGGAAAATATTCTGTACTAGAAACTTCTCCAGAGAATCATAGGAATAGAAAATGCTGTCGCTATCTGAACGAGGCACTAAAATCCCTACTCAAAGGCACCAATGGTTTCCCTAAAGACAGCATCTTTCTTTATCCCGTTACTGTGAACTTTCTGTGTCAGAGAACAGAGATATAATTTGAACTACTCTTAACAGCCTATGTGATAATTCATCTTATCATTTGCAATATGCAGAATTCAGGGGCATATCTTGAGCGCAGATCTCTTGGCTTGGACGGTGCTAGATTAAAGAACAGTCAAGCTACCAATGATCTCACAAATTCAGCTTGGGGATATCAGGTTCTTAATAAACAATTAAAATGTTTATATCAGTCTTTCAAATATAAAAGCTTCCCAGTTCATGCTATATACCAGCAAAGATAACTTTTCAAAAGAATAAAACATACCAACAAGAATGCAGTTTTTACATTTTCATTATTCTTTTCATCAATCTTATACGACTTTGCAGGCTCTTCAAAAAGTTTTTCAACAATTAAGTTTTCACAGAGGGGATAGGCTACATGCTTCTTCCTTCATCATAAGAATATTAAGATTGTTTAGCAAGGGTATAGAAGTCATGCTTAGAAAAACCTTTCTGCTAATGTAATCGACTGTATAGGTAGGATTGCTAGGGAAGAGGTTACAACTTCACACAGAGAAAGGATCATCTGCTGCTCAATGGAGCAAGCTGTCTGCTTCTCCCAAACAGCTCACATGGTACAAGGTAATGATAAATAGTTCAAGAGCTTTACCTGAGACTTTTTTTTTTTTTTTTTAAATTTTCTTCAGCTTTGACAAGAAAATTAGTAAGTGTTATCTGATCATAACACAGTGAAATATTTGTTCTCTAGAAAACAGAAGGTGCCTAACCCTTTTCGTTTCTGAGTAATTAAAGAGGCTACCAATAATTCAGAGACATAGAAAATCTACCCACGGAAAACTATATAAACCCTGCAAATAGTCCCAGTAACTCAAAGAAAAATCTTTTTGTAAAGAAATCTCCATCTCCAAAGTTTAACTCTTCAAAAGTGCCCATTTTGAATATCTTTTTGGAAATCTAAAGAACTACTATAAGGAGCTAATTAAGTGCTAATAATTTCAATTCCATGTGAATTAAGAAGGAAATTAACCTGATTGCAAACAACAGACATATTTTGATGCTCCTGAGGGTGATGATCCCCTAGCAATCAATCTTGGATCCATGGGGAAAGGTGAAGCTTGGATCAATGGCCACAGTATTGGTAGATATTGGGTCTCATTCCTCAAAGCTGATGGTTCTCCTTCACAGACATGGTATGTTGTTACCACATACATGCTACATTTATCCTAAAGAACAAAAAAAATCTTCCATGTGTTTATCTATATTATATTATCCAACTGCACCTATATGGAAAAGAGTTAAGAAAGCTATAGCTTTTCTCCAAACACGAGTAACATGAGCTACCGGTGGCTAACCTTTTTATTTTTCATTTCTTTCAGGTACCACATACCAAAATCTTTTCTTAAACCCAAAGGGAACCGGTTAGTTTTGTTTGAGGAAGAATCAAAAGACCCTCTGAACATCTCAATAGACGTGATTTATAATCAACGAAGGTCCTAGTTAGAAAAACAACAGGATAGAGATAGAAATACAATCACACACAGATTACACGCAACTTTCTAGTTAAAAGTAGACGATTTGTTGCTGTCAAAGAATGATAAACAGATTTCAGTGTCTGGATATGTACAAACTTGAGGTGATCCAATCTGTCAAACAGCAATTACATAATTTCATATGCTAATGAGAAGAAATCAGTGTGATGCAATCATTGATTATTGTTGCTCAAATTCAACCAATAGTGGGATCAGCTTCATAGAATCAGGACATCAGTGTGAACAAGAATCAGAGTTCTTGTGAACGCATTTGAATGATTACCAGAATAATGTTTTATTTGCAGGAGGCTTGACAAGCTTTTAGCCTTGTAACAACTTTGTATTTTTTCCTGCTTGTACTTCGGCACTAAATTCAATAGCTATGATCAACATCTGCAGTTTTTAAAAAAGGAAGGGCAATGTTCAAATTTTGACTATAAACCAAAGTTCAGAAGTTCTTTTTATATGAATTTGACTGACAATCATCCTAATGTGAATGGAGGAGAAAATCAAATTTATCCGGAACGTATAGATAAAAAAAAGAAGAATATGATCTAAGGATCAACCAACCTGTAACCAAAATCAGCCTCTATGAGCTCTAGTTCAGAAATCATAAGCTGATTTGATCACTGAAATTCATGATGATGAAGTAATGATTGATGTTTACAGGCTTCTAGGAGTGCTGCTCTAAGCCACTAATTGATAGGGGGCTCACGCAAAAAAGATGAGGGTAATAAAATTAGGGATAATATCAGAAATCTCCTCTAAGGTTTTTAAAATATCACTTACCTCCCCAAATGATTGTAAAATGACTATATTAACCCTCACTTCATTCAAGTAAACAGAGCTCAAAAAATTAAAGAAAAATAAACAAAGTCACTTTCTTCTATTTTCCTTTTCTCTAACATTCTTTTTTGTCCTTTTTTGGATGACTATGCAATTATTTTTTTGTAAATTATTGTAAACTGAATTTTTTATTTATTTTTTGAGTGATTGTGGTAAAATGCAGTACGATTTCTTTGGTCATTTTGATTTAATTTTCATAGTGATTTAGTACAATTTAATGGTTTGGGTCGTGGATTGAGAATAGATTGTTTCATAAAAAATTGGTTTTGATCATATAAAGTTGAATTGGTACTAATATATTTCTTTTCATGTATCTTTTTTTCTTTTCAAATTCTATGGTTTTATGATGTGGTGACAGTACTTAAGATTGTTTTTCAGGTGATTATTTTTATTGGAGTAAGCAAAGTGGTTTAAGAATATTTATACTTAGTAAAAGGAGCAAAAGGATAATTTAGGGGTTTTAAAGATTTTGTCATACAAATAGCAAAAGTAAGGAAAGTTTTCTCAAGCTGCCTTAATGATACCAGATGTCTGCTGATTGTCTCATTTATTCTTGGGTTTGTCTCAAGGTTACAGGTGTGCTTCACAATCAAACCAGTAAAAGCCTGCGTGCCATTAACAAATCCGACATCAAGAATTAAATTACATCATCGTTTAACGTATAGTAGATGCATGAAAAACTATCACCCCATGGTTACATGCCTTACTACTACTGGTATTTCGTTCTGTTATCTCAACAAAAACCCTGTAGGGAAAGAAAAGAACATATTGACAGAATAAGGGTTTGTGTAAATTCTTCTTGGTTTTCTTTTTCTTTTTGAAGATAGTCAAAGAAGACTTCTAAATGTGCATTGGAAGAAGTACATATATGTACTAAGATTAGTATTTGTTGTATTGAATTTGTTATATTGGAGATTAATTTGCTTATATCTGCTTGTCGTAAATGATAGTTTGACCTTGTCTTTTGTATTAAGAGCTACAGGCCTACAGCAACATGTTAAGTGTATTTGTTTTATGTCGAGTGTTTCTACTTTCTACCAAATTTTATTTTCCACTGGCTTTCCTAATGAATTGGTATTGACTATTCTTTTGACGATTGATGATGGAGGACTAGCCACTGGCCATTTGGTCCAGTGGTCATCACCCTCTTTGGTGATGCTGGAGGTCAGGGATTCAATCCCTGTCTCCCAAAAACTTGCCATTTTACGTGGCTGGTCTTCTGATAGCTCGAGCGGTCCGCTCCCCCTCCTTAGGGTATGGCGACCTTCCTGGCTTGTCCAAAGTTCGAGTCCCGCTATTAACGTGCTCGGTGTGGAGTGGGGCCTCCTCTCCCGGGCAACAAGGGATTAGTCGGGCCCCGTAAGGATTGACCCGGACACCCCTGTGTTTTTCCTCCATGGTCATATATAGTTTTAGTTAGTAGGATTAATCAATACATGTGTGAACTTCCTATTAGCTAGAAGAATATGTCAGCGGTAAGAGGGATTTGATTTCCTCCACAACTGGTTGAAGTATTGGCAGATTTAGGGGTAATGTCTTCTATTTGGTGTTTAAACTTGAAATTTGTGGAAAAGTTTTTTTTTTCTTCTTTTTCAGAAATTGACGTTTGAAAATTCTTCGAGTTCTGATTTTGCACATCTTCTGCTGTGATTTGAATTAATTGGTTCCTGCTTCTTGATACATACAGATACAGCAAAAGCAAGCACTTAGCGCTCCGGAAATTTTTGAAATATCACTTACTAGGGGCGTGCAACGAATTCGAATTCGGTAATTCGGAAGTTTGAATTCGAAATTTTTCAAAAATTTGGTAGCAGAATTACCGACCGAATTCGATTTCAAATTCACCAGTTCCGAATTCGAATTCAATTCCGAATTCAATTCAAAATTCAGTAAATTTCGAATTCACCGAATTCGAAGACCTTTTTTCCTTTTTTTCTTTTTTGTTAGATGTATTGTTATATAATATAAATTTTATATTTCATATATTATAAAAAATATTATTATATATATTAATAAATATATTATAAAATGAAATTGAAATAAAAATTATTATTATATAAAACAAAATTGAAATCAGAAATTTTGATTTCAATTTCCGATTTCAAAAACTCCATTACCAAATTTGAACCAATTCGCATAATTCGAAATCGAAAATTCTAATTTCAATGCCGAATTCCGAATTACCAATTTCAAAATAGATGCAAAAAGGCTATATTAACCCTCACTTCATACATAACACACATTTCAAATAAATGGAGCTAAAAAAAAAATAGGGTTTATAAAAAATTGGTTTTGATCATGTAAAGTTGAATTTGTGCTAATGTATATTTTTACGTATATCTTTTTTGCTTTTCAAATTTATACTTTTACAAGCTATAATTTTGTGATATGGTGGCAATACTTAAGATTGTTTTTTATGTGGTTATTTTTAATGGAATAAACAAAGTGGTTTAAGAGTATTTTTGTTTAACAAAAGGAGCAAAAGGGTAGTTTAGGTTTTTTAAAGATTTTGTCATATAAATAGCAAAAGTAAGGAAAGTAAGTGATTTTTTTTAAAACCTCAGGGGTATTAAGTGATATTAAGCGAAACCTCAAGAGAGGTTTTTCAAAGGAAAAATTTCAGAAACCTCCCCTGAGGTTTTTGACACTAGCACTCACCTCCCCTATAGTTTAAGAAATAGCATTGACCTCCCTTGAACTTACTGATTTCTTGCATATTCAGTCCAGGCTAGAAATAGTGCCATTAAAATATTGTTTTAGGGAGTGAGATGAGACATTTGTACCAGATTTGCCCTTTGTGCTACATGCCAAGTAGTATTAGCAAAAGAATGACAAAGCACTACAAATCAATTAACAATTAATAAACTTTAAGGGTTGTAGTTTATAAGCAAATGGACATTATCTATTCAAAGTACCAGTTCTTTATGGGCATTTTACTCTCAAACATTTAATTTATGATAAATATGTCAATGTTTGTAAATAAAATTCAAAAAGTATTACAGTAATATTCTTACAAAAAGGAAACCGATAGGTTATTTATTTAATATAAATTAAATATTTTCAAAAAAAAGAAATGGCCCATAAAGTATTAATTCTTTATGACTTTCCTCCATTATAGTGACGGAGCCAGGATTTTTTCCTTGGGGGGGCCAAAATTTTTTCGAACAAAATTACCTTAATATGTTATGTTTAAAATAATTTTCATTTATTTAAATATATGACATCTTAAAATATTAAATATTAACTTTAATTATAAAGGTATGTCTATTTCATAAATATATAACATAGTCATAACTAAAATTAAGACAAGAAATAACCTTTGATTAAATATTTTATAATATCACAAACCACCTAAGTTGCACATTATAAGAAGATGCTCCAATATGTCACTTGTACAAAAACAAATATATAACTATTTTCAATTAAAAAAAGATAAAAGTTATGTTAGCATACCTTTAAATTTCATCCTCTTTTATTAAAAATAAATTGAGATTTATGTTCTTTTATAGAATTAAATTCATGTATAATTGAATCAATGCTAAATTTTCGAACAACTTCCTTTTTTTTATGTACATTGTTAGGCAATCATTCAAGAAATTATCCATTATCTTGTTTTGGAGTTTTGTTTTGATTATCTTCATAATTGAGAATGTCCATTCTATAGACTATAGAATGGAGCCAGGATTTTTTCCTTTGGGGGGGGGGGAATTTTTCTGAACAAAATCATCTTAATATGTTATATTCAAAATAATTTTCATCTATTTAAATATATGACATCTTAAAATATCAAATATTAATTTTAATTATAAAGGTATGTCTATTTCATAAATATGCAGCATAGTCATAACAAAAATTAGGATAAGAAATAACATTTAATTAAATATCTTATAAGATCACAAATTACCCAAGTTGTACATTATGAGAAAATGCTCCAATATGTCACTTGTGCAAAAACAAAAATATAACTATTTTCAATTAATAAAAGATAAAAGTTATGTTAGCATACCTTGAATTTCAACCTCTTTTTTTAAAAGTAAACTGAGCTTTACGTTCTTCCATAGAACTAAATTCATCTATAATTGAATCAATACTAAATTTTTGAACAACTTCCCTTTTTTATGTACATTGTTAGATAATCATTCAAGAAATTATTTTTTATCTTGTTTTGGATATTTGTTTTGATTATATTCATAATTGAAAATGTCCGTTCTATAGTTGCAGTTGATATAGGAAGAGTGAGAACAAATGTAATCAATCTGTCAACAACAGAATAGACACTCAATTTCTTGTTTTCACAAAGCCTTCAAGTAATTATTTGTACATTTGTATATGAGTCAACAAGAGTATAGATCACTAATTTTAAATTTTTTATCAATTAGGTTAAGTTGTATATTTGTATATGGACCAATAAAGTAATTATTTTTGTTTTAGCCCATTGATAATTATGAATTGAGTCCTTTATTATAATATATAAAATTGGGTCAATTTACTATGGATTATCAAATTATATGTTTAATTTTTTGAATGTTAAATAATTAGCACAATAAAAAAATAAATAACTTTTTTTTGAAGAAAAAATTAAATCAAAGTTGGCTAATTCATATACACACAGAGAGAGATATATATATATCTATATCTATATATATAAACTCTCATAATATAAACTAAAATTGTAAAAAATTAGGGGGGGCCAACTTTGTCTTATACATATATTTACATATTATGAATTAAAATTTTCAAAACTTAGGGGGGGCCATGGCCCCCCTCTGCCCCCCCTTGGCTCTATCATTGCTCCATTACATGAGCAAAGTATCGGATCTTTATGGGCATTTTATTCTGAATCATTTAATTTATATTAAATACATAAATAT